AAAGGCCCTATAAAGGTCTTATACCTTCAGTAAAATTTTGATGTAATATGTGTTTTGAAAAGAAAATTTCACGCTCTTTCCATTGGTGCCAACAGTTTTGAGAGAAAAAATTCTGCCAAAACTGTATCTTAAAAGTTACAAACCAAACTTGAAATTTCAAGAAAATTCTAGCCTTTTTTTTCGGTGTCTGACCTCGTAGCTCGGCACCAACAAGTCAAAATTAAAAAAACTTATACATGTTTGTAAGCAGAATTTTATACTCTAAAAAAATGGCAAGAATGATTTTTTTCACCGGATGCACTAGAATCACGCAAAATTGGGGAAACGCTGACGAAGTCAACAATCAATTTACACGTAATTTCAGTCGGCCGCCATTTTGTTATAAGCAATTTTGACTGTGTTCCCGAGGGGGGCTAATGGTAAACTTTTTTTGGGGGGCTCCAGACATGTTTTGGAGCGCTTTAAAGCACAAGAGAAGTTTGTGCTAATTTGTCCGAGGTTAGGCCCTTTTTTTGGCTAGAATGACTGGACTACACTTGCGTTTCAAGCCGACCAGCACCGCAATGCGCAATGTGAGAAATATTCCTCCACGCTTGAAGGCGCTAATACACTTTTCTGCCGACCAGCGGCCGCACTCATTGTCAGTTAGGTGCAATGCGTGAAGTATTCCTGCACTCTTCTAGGTGCTAATATGCGTTTAGCGTTGGCTAGCGACCGCACTATGTTTGGCGCATCGCTGGTAGAGGCTTAGTGAAGTAATAGGGAACCAGTGGGCTCTTGCTTCCGTTCAAATTATTATTCAGTGATGATGACTTACAGGGTTTTGAAACGGGATTGGACTTATGGAAATCGTTATCTTGAGGAGGCTGCAGTCTACGTGGTGAATTCCGGATGGGAGAAAAGGGGGCTTTCGAGGTAAGAGGAGAGGAAAGGGAGGCAGAGGATCTACAAGGGAAGGGGGAGGATATATTATGGGAATTTCGGACAGCACGGAGACAGCAATAACATGTATATCAGAGGCTAACCTGAACCAGAGACGAGACGGGAAGTGAATACCGCGGGAAATAAGAAGTAAAAAACTTAAGTGGAAGTTGGAAACCGGAAGTAGAAAGTGCAAACCGGTAATAGGAAGGGATGACCTATGAAGTGGACAGATTAGGTAAACCAGATGTGGGAAGTAAAAACCGAAAAAGAGCATTCCAATGCCGCTAACCTTGCAAACATAAACGATCATCTAAACTAGTTTCACCTCTACTCCCAATAAACTATGAATCCAAGACGAAAATTACCGTCGCAAAGTTAACTTTTTGCAAAGAATGTACCTAAGTTGCACAATCCCAGCAACATTGAAATGCTCTTAGTTCCTTTTTGCAAAATGCGATCCAATTTGTTGTTGCTGCAAAAAAATAGTTTCCCACAACCTGCTATACAATGCTCCAGTGACCATGTAAGTTGACCCGAGCACTAACTTTTCGGGAAGAAAGCCTTTCCCTTGCCTGGTTTCTCACTTAATATCCGCCCGAGTTTCGCATATCTTCCGTTTCTCCTCATCGCAGCTTCCATCAAACCGCAAATGCCCGGAAACTAGGACCGCACATCTTATCTGATAAAATCGTTCGCCCTTTAGACCGATTCTGGGGGGTTAGGCTAGACTAGTCGATGAGTCAACTGTTGATCTAATTTCATTACGTGAACGTAGAAGAAAAACGGGGTAAAAAATCACTAATGTGCGATCAATTTTCAAGGACAATTCTGTAATTTCTCCAACGATTTTAAATAGATTAAAACGCGTAATATCGAAAATCTAAGCTCAGATTCGGATTCCTCGTGAAAAACTGATGCGATTTCATGCATCAAATTTTAGAATAGCTTGAAGGAAAGAGGTTTAATGACGTAAAAAAAACACTAATGTGTGATCAATTGTCAAGGACAATTCTGTAATTTCTCCTACGATTTTAAATAGATTAAAACGCGTAATATCGAAAATCTAAGCTCAGATTCGGATTCCTCTTGAAAAATTGATGAGATTTTATGCATCAGATGTTAGAATATAGCGTGAAGGAAAGAGGTTTAATGACGTAAAAAAACACTAATGTGTGATCATTTTTCAAGGACAATTCTGTAATTTCTCTTACGATTTTAAATAAATTAAAACGCGTAATATCCAAAATCTAAGCTCAGATTCGGATTCCTCGTGAAAAATTGATGAGATTTCATGTATCATATGTTAAAATAGCATGAAGGAAAAAGGTTTAACGACGCGTATAGATTCTGTCATACTACCCGTTTGAACTGCGCCGCGCCGGTCGCCCGAGATGCAACCGAATGGTGAGACGCCGGCCGGCGCTAAGCAAGCGTTCGGTTTCGTCCCGAGGAATTCCTCACGATAAATTCTTATTCTTCCTCCTCCGCTGACCCACTGAGCACTACCCATGTTGCCACGTTGGATTCATATGCTCGAATCAGTATGTCTGCGTTACGTCTCTTTCCTTCACGCTATGCTCGGGTATGATACATGAAATTGTATCAATTTTTAACGAGGAATCCGAATCTGAACTTCGATTTTGGGTATCACGCGTTTTAAGTCAAATTTTCCAAATTCGAAAATCTGAAATGACTGACGTGGCTTAAAATGCCATCTCAGCTCGTGTTCGATGGATTTTCCTGAAATTCGGTGTCAGGGTATGATACATGAAATCGCATCGATTTTTTACGAGGAATCCGAATCTGAACTTCGATTTTGGGTATCACGCGTTTTAAGTAAAAATTTTCCAAATTCGAAAATCTGAAATGACTGACGTGGCTTAAAATGCCATCTCAGCTCGTGTTCGATGGATTTTCCTGAAATTCGGTGTCAGGGTATGATACATGAAATCGCATCGATTTTTTACGAGGAATCCGAATCTGAACTTCGATTTTGGGTATCACGCGTTTTAAGTAAAAATTTTCAACTTCAAAAATCCGAAATGACTGAAGTGGCTTAAAATGCCATTTCGGCTCCTGTTCGATGGATTCTCCTGAAATTCGGTGTCAGGGTATGATACATGAAATCGCATCGACTTTTTACGAGGAATCCGAATCTGAGCTTCGATTTTGGGGATCACGCGTTTTAAATCAAAATCTGTCAAAATTCAAAACATTCAATATTCGAAAATCCGAAATGGCTTAACATGCTATGTCGGCTCTTGTTCGATGGATTTTTTTGAAACTCGGTGTCTGAGGGTATTTTTCGACCGGAAACTCGAATTTTTACTATGTTTAAAAATTCTCAAATCCAAGATGGCGGACGTGGCCTAAAATGCTATGTCAGCTCCTGTTCGATGGATTTATGGCGCCCCCTTACTACATGCCTACTCTTGTATTTCTGTACAGCCGCAAATTTAGGGTCAAGGGGCGCCTGACCGTCTGTGGACCAAGTGGAGTTTTTGTCCTGAAAATTTACCTTTAGACGGCAATTCTCTTTAAATTTTGTCCATGGTTTTTATGCCCCCCCCCTTTCTCGCGGACTCTCTTTTAACTTTTCTTGCCTCCTTTTTCCTTCCGTTTCCCCCCTTCTTCCTTGCTTTCACTGCCCAACCTTGTTTCCTTTTCCTTTTTTCCCCTTGTCCTTTCTTCCCTTTTTTTCATTTTCCTTTTCCCCTCTTTTTTCCCTCTCTTCTTCTTTCGTGGCGCCCCCCAAAGGCTGGCGCCCGTGTAAGCACGCCCTAAGTCCGGGCCTGAAGAAATGGATAACCCGGAGCGGAAGAGAGAATCGGAGGAGGAAAGTAATTACCTTGAATATGATAACCGGAAGTTGAATGTGATAACCGGAAGTTAAATGTAATGACTGGAAGTTGAATGTAATAACCGGAAAAGGGAGTGAAAACTGGAAATAGTAAGTGGAAACCGGAAAGGGAAGTGAAAATCGGAAGTTGGAGGTGAATACCGTAAAAAAAGTAATTAATCAGTAGTAATAAGGGGAAACGGGAAGTGAAAGTCAATCGCCGCATTATTATTCTACAGATAACATGAATTGAAATTAAATGAAAAAAACTGATTTATTACTCAAACTAAACGAATTGACGGTGTTGCATCAATAATAATAGGGTATTTTTTTTTTTTTTTTTTTTTTTTTTTTTTTTTTTTTTCTTGCATTATTATTTCACAAATTTACAGGATGAATTTACATACTTTGAAAAAAAAAAAAAAACACTGCATGATATATTTCAATTTAAAAGAAGCGCCCGTTGCGTCGTTGTTCCCGCGCTTTACAAAGATTCACCAAAAACCGGTCTCGCAGATGGATGATGCATTGTCTTTGGACGGAAATATGTAAACAACGTGACTTTAGTGTGAATCTTTTCTTTATGCACTTTTTGGTGGTTTTCATCAAATTCCATTGGCTTAATCTCAAATGTAGGAGTGTTTATGTGTAATATCTTTTCCGTGAAAATCCAAATTACCACTTGGCCCAAATCATTTCGTTCCCATGGAAAATGAGGAACTTAAGTATTCAGGCATATTTTGCAGGTTAATCTCGGAAAAGTTTCTATGCTGTGTTTCTGTCAAAAAAATTGACTGGCAGGTTTGTCCTCTTCAACGCAATTCTTGCTATTAAATTCTCTACTTATAGCTTTTTCCAAGTTTCAAAGGTCGGTCTAATGCTCAGACTCTTGCTTGCATGCACCAATGCTAGAACAGTTATAATCGTCAACCCTTCTTGGATTCTAATGATTCGTATAGTTTCGATGATGATGTCTGTTTTCACTAGTTCATTTGCTTGGAGTCATGACTTCATGAAGCCCAGAAGCACTCATTTTAGCTCAAGCAATGCTGTTTAGCCTAGTTTTCACGTTAAGATTTTATAGTTCTGAACTATTAAGTGATTGCTAATTGAAACCTGAGCATATTTTTCCTCCCTTCTTTATGCAGCTACTCCATTGCCATTTCAAGCAGACAGGTCTGGTAATTAGTTCATGGTAAATGTCCATCTCCTAGTAGTCTGAATCCTGACGAGACAGGTCCTGGATTTTTGCTGAAGTAGAGACCAGGGAACGTAACCTTCTCACTTTGGACTGATCATTTACTGAACTGCTTTAGAAGTTCAGTCTATACTAGCTGGTCTGTGGTACCTGTGGCAAATAGTTATTGTATCGTAATTAACTTCTTACATGTTTTCCTTCGGGGAAGTATTTTAAGATCTAAGTTCTTTATCATTCACTCAGTACGTTTTTTCTTGCTCAATGATACTGACAACATTAACAACTTAGTTAAAGCAAGGAGTGTCAACTTCAGAAGCACTTATAAATTAATATCAAATTCAGAAATATTTTGGAAGGAATTTAAATAAACTCTGCAAGTGTTACGCCAGGATTATGGACCTACTTACCTAACACACTTTATCGCATCTTGAAGGCAACATTTTCCCTCAAGTAATGTGCCTACTCCTCAGCATGCGAATAAGCAACTCTTACGTAGCACAAGATATTTTATCCAATTCCAGTTTTTCAAACTTACACAAGTAATGGTGCATATGTTCTCTCCTTTGTTTTAGGATATACTAAAAGAACTTTCTACTAAAGATGAAGATGAGAGTCTGAAACTTCAAAATATTCTGCTTGCTGAAACAGTCAATCATCCTCTCAACCAGAAGTATCCTCTGAAGTTAAGCTATCAGCTAGGCTTTCTGAAATACATAATTTTGACGGTAATTTTTTCACTTACTACAGCCCTCGACTCATTCATCTTGTCGATGAAGTAGGCTCATATTCTTGCCTTTAAAGAACAAGCATACAATACGACGAAATTTAGCATATGCTAAATTTTGAAATATTTTATATGATGCTCCTTATTATCTCCCTGGTGAGGTGAGCCTTTAAGCTCACACTTTCCATGTGAAAATCTCGAGAATTTTTGAGGAATTTAGCAGTATTATCATACAATTAGCATCACTGTTTCCGAGTCAAACATGCAAAGCCTTTTGCTTCGAACTCAGTTGATGCCTTGTCTTAACGCCCCTGCTGGCTAAAGAGAAAGAAGAAACTGCAAACAGCAGTACCTAATGGTATCTGTTCAATCAACAATAAGTAATGGTTTCTGTGCAAACAAATACATTGAGGCCCATTTCAAAATTTCTATTCCTAAGTAGTTATAACGTTAAAAAGGAAATTAACTTATATCCTGCTTAAACGCCTGAGGTTTTCTTTAAAAAAAAATTTTCTTTAAACAGAAATGTAGAAATTGTGCATTTGTGCAAACTGGTATGAATGGTTTTATTATCACATCATTGATTTGACACTTCATACCAAACTTCTATACATATTATGAGTCTGTTGCTCTCAAGCAATACAGGCAAATAAACTTACTTGTATGCAACAGGTAAAATCACTTAAAAATTATGGAGGGCACATGAAATAAGTCTGAAACCTACTCTTATGGGGTAGATTATAACTTCCTTTTTAAGTTTTCTCCGGCGAGGAACAGTTTTTTAATAAGGTGACATAAGAAAATCTGATCTGAATAAAGTAATGATTTTGCCTACTTTTTATTGCTTGTGATTTCAACAATTTTCAAGTGTTGCTTTTCTCCTTATTTCTTTGATTTCCAAAAGCAAAAGCTTAAAATCCGTCGAAATCACACGCAATGAAAGTTTAAAACTTATTTGTTACCAATGTTAGGTTTTGATACGCCTCTTTCTTGGCAAACCTATATGCCAGCCATCAAAGAAAACTGCCGATAGCTGGAGAACATTTAAGAAAGCGAGTTATAAGCTATGCAGATTTAGGGCTAGAGTTGATTTCAGACTTTTTTGATGAGCCTGTCATAATTTTTATGCAATTCTACCCATTAAATGTCTATTCACTTGGCTGTATATCTTGCGCACTATAGAGCCATTGTAGCTCAAATCATTTTTTGGCCCATGACAAATCTGTTCAATGGACTGTCGGCCAACTGAAGTTCTTGATACCTCAACCAATCCAGCAATCCAGCTAGCATTTGAAAAATGCCTCTGAAAATGATTTGTAATTTCAAGAAATCAAATGATACCTATAAAAATACAGGAAATCATTAAATTAAATCGATATTCCTTGTTTATAAATTAATCCTCTTGAACAGTGAAAGAAAATTGGTTGGGGGATTAACTATGTGTGAAAAGTTATGCTCAATCTTTTAATCCTCCCTTAATTTTTCCCTGCACAGTTAGAAGAACGTGGAGTAGAAGTCAGTGAGGACCTCTATTCAAAATTTCAAGAACTATTACAGTCACCGCCTCCTAGTTCTGATTTCAGTTTTAAACACTACAAAGTAGCAGATGACAAATTTGTGACCTTAAAAGAGAGCACTTCCATTGTATCCGAGGGGACCACAGGTCTTTGTAGCTGGCAAGTAAGTTACAGGCTCTCCTTATTTTTCAGTTTGTAATCTATACGTGAGATATTGTAATTGAATCCAAACCTGAAATCAGTCGAGAAATAGTTCATATTCTGTCAAGCTCTTACGACTGTTACTATAAGTTTTTTCTGAAGCGAATATTTTTATTTAACATACTGAAAATGTTTTGTCTTGTTGAACAGAAATCATTGGCCGACAGGACATATATTTTCAACCTGATTTCTTTAAAAGTATTGAACCAGTCTGGAAACTGGTAAATTTTCTTACGGATCCAGAAAACGTGCTATAGTTGTTCGCGTTTGAAATTTGCCTCTGTAGGCTTGGAGGAGACAGAACTTAAAAGGATTAATTTCTACTTTTGAGATCTTGAAATCTTTCACTTCCTGAGTCAATGGAAGTCAGTGTAGAATATTTCAAAACCTGCAAATCCTTAAATTTTGTTTTGAAACGCTATCATAAACCTCCTATTTTTTTAAGTACCATCACATCCAAGAATGGAATTATTGTTCCTGCTGATTCGGATGGTTACGATGAACTTATTCTTTTAAATTTTGTAGACAAATTTCTATCCCTAGAATATCTTTATGAAGTCGCCTAATGTCACTATTTTTCTGTTTTTTCATTGTAGGGTGCATTTGTACTCGCAGAGTGGTGTCTAGAAAATTCTGTTGTCTTGAATGGCAAAGGCATTCTAGAACTGGGCTCGGGCATCGGTCTAACTGGCTTGGTTGTTTGTAAAACTTGTCTGCCAAAATATGTAGCATTCACTGATGTCCATGAATCTGTCTTGAAACAGCTCTGTTCCAACATCAACATTAATACCGGCTGTGAGGATAACTTTGATTATGGTCCAGAAGACCAAGATGTTTTGCTGAATATTTTATGGGAAGGCAAACACATCCTAGTTGCTAAACTAGATTGGTTTTCATTTGATTTGGACTCGATTTTTTGTGAATTGGATTTTCCTGATGTCTTGTTAGCAGCAGGTATGTATGTCTTTGAGCTTAAAAAAAAAGTTTCTCAACAATGTTGTTTCGAATTAATCCATATGAACCTTGTTTTAAAAGGATTGATGCTAAAATTATTGATCCTTGTACTGGTGCTTCTACATGAACTTTTGGTAGTCACATATGCAAAAATATCGTGGGTATTTTTATTATAAAAACAACTATTAATCTTATATATTCTCATTTATTTACTTCTATATATTGGATATTTCAGAAATTTAAATAGTTACGTAATTTTGCTCCCAAGTCTCGTATCATACAAGTTACAAATCGACGGTGAAACTACCAAACCACGTATCTTAGTTTGCGACGTCGCAGACTTCCTGTCATACTTTATTTTTTAAATGAAAAACTACTTAACATCCAGTCTTGAAAATTTCTGTGATTTTTCCTCTTTGTGCGGAGAAAATTCCGTGAAAATTTCAAGGAATGATATTGATTTGGTCTACTTCAAAAAAATAAAATGTGAGCGTAGATTTTTAAACACCGCAAACGAGATACGTGGTTTGGTAGTTTCACCGTCGAAATGTGCTGTATCAATACTCTTGTGCATTTGACTATATTCTTGGCCTCATAAATTTCAAGCTTAAAGGTTCATTTCAAGGAAAATGTGAAGAAATATCATGCAATTTACAAGAACTGGAAAATAATCCAACAAAAATTTGGTGACCCTGAGTTAGTTTTAAGAAAACGGATGTATTGATGCCTGATCTCCAATTCAAGAAGCCCCACTCATAGAGGGCTTTAGCAATAAAAATTCTGGTAATTCCATCAGAAGGAGCCCTTTTATTTTTCTTGTCTCTTGTCTTTCGTACTTTATTACTTAATAATCAAAATTTGGCAATGGTTTTTTTTTTTGCTTTGTTACAGATGTTGTCTATGATCCAAGCCTGATCACACCGTTGTGCAAAGTCTTAAATTCGTTTTTTGAAAAGAAAAAAGACATTTCAGTGATTTTTGCATGCACCATTCGAAATCAAGGGACGCATGAATTATTTTTAGAAACTCTAGGTAAGATGCGCTCTTTTTTATTATTTATGTATGTATTTTTTTATTTTACTTTATTTTTTTTTGTGTGAGGGTGAGGGGGTGTGTTTGTGTGCATGTGTGGCCAAGTAGTAATAAGTATAGGCACTTCCAATTGATGTTTTTAAGAGGAAAGTTAGACTTAGAAGATATATCTAAATGACATCTCATATCTCGTGTGATAAAGAAAAATTGGCATTCGTGGGTTTTTTGTTGATTTTGTAGAGAAATGTTTGTGAAAGTTTATAATGCATTACTTCATTTTTACCTCAGCCTAATTGAAGTCAAGGAATGCAGAAAGATAGGACTGATTTTCACAACTGTTTGTTTGTCAACTACCAGTAAAATTGACGAATTTGAACTCTTTCTTTTTTCTAATATTATATTTACTATCATCCTCTCAAGAGAAATATATGCAGTAGCTGTAACTTAAAATTATATTATATACATCAAATAGTAATTTTTTATTACCTTAAGAATTGGAGTGGAAGGGCAGAAAAAAAAAAAAAAAAAATCATTTCTAGATACAAGAGTCCATGAGTTGAATTTTTAGTATTAAAGCATCACAAATAATCTTATCTTCTATGACATCAGAGGTCAAGCCTGAGGCTGGTTAGTTCTCAGGGTTTGCGCCTCTTGAGGCTCATGATCTCCTGGAAATTGTCAAGGAGCTCAAGAATTTCTTCATTAAGACAGTGTTCCAAACCTATAGGCACCTGTGCACCAAATTCTTCTAAAAAATTGACCATCGAGCCTAAAAAGGAGATCCTGGCCAAATGTGAGCTCCTAAATATTGCCTCAATTCTAATTTTCTTATTTTTCATCAATTGGCACGAAACTAAACTCGCGAAGCAAGCAGTTGTAATCGCAGCACCGCAGATCTTGTCATTGATTGAGAATTGGTGCAGAATGGGGTGGTAGGATGAAACGTGTATGCCAGCCATCGAAGAAAACTGCCGACAGCTGGGGAACATTCAAGAAAGCGTGTTATAAGCTATGCCGATTTGGGGCTAGAGTGGATTTCAGACTTTTTTGATGAGCCTGTCATGATTTTTATGCAATTTTACCTATTAAATGTCTATTCGCTTGGCTGTATCTCTTGCGCAGTATAGAGCCATTGTGACTCAAATCATTCTTTGGCCTATGACAAAACTGTTCAATGGACTGTTGGGCAACTGAAGTTCTTGAAACCTCAACCAATCCAGGTATCTTTGAAAAATTTGTGGGCTGGTGGGAGGAGCCCTCCCCATTTTTGGCATCCATAAGCCAAGTTGGTCTTGGTATTTGATAATAGAACAAAAGTAAATTGTTTAGGGTAAAAGAACCATAAAACCAAAAAGTGGATTCAATGTCTAGATTCTATATTATTTATTCAAAGTCAGTATTTGTAGAACCAAGTTTGCAACCAACAGAGAATTGAAAATTATGTGGAAAGCTTAAAAATGTATTGAAAAAAATTTTAGGCAGTTTCTCTTGTCAATTAGCTAATTGATTTCTCTTCCCATTTTCAGGTAGTATGGGTATGACACCTAAACTGATTCCGTTCAACAGCAAGCTCATTTTCCACTATGATCTGGTAGGAAATGTCCTGTTGTACTCTATTCATAAAGAGACATAATCGCAGTAAGAAATGTAAGTTGGTCTCATATTAGTTTATTCAGTTAATGTTTTATATAACTTTCAACGTGTCCATGACTGTGATCAATGTGTTTTTGAACACTCGCACCAAGCCCAGATGAGATATGGAAAAAACATTAAGGATGTATGCTACAACTACTAGTGATTGTTGAGACTCAAAACTTACCTTTTAGTTGCATCCTTCCTGGAATAACTCACTAATATTTGAAAGCCTCAGTCAATTGAGTTTGGCCTTTGAACCCCTCAGAAAAACTAGTTTGACTGAGTCAAAACTATTCCACACTAAGTCATGTTTAGGTAAGGAGGGAATTAAAACATGGGTACACAAGGCTAATTCCCCCTTATTTATTCGTATATTTGGGCTACGTTTTTGTGCTTTATCCCTAAGTGGTGTATGAGGCACTAATAATATCCCATGCGCCAGTAGCCTATATGCAGTATCACTATGACACACAAACTGATGACTTTTCTCGGAAAAATTCCTACTCAGTGACGGAAGAACTGATTGTAGTGGTCCCACTTGGGAAGGTAAAATGAATGCTTCTCTTATGTTGCAAAGATCAATTAATCCCAGTTTCAAAAATTGATTTTTGAAAGTATGAAGTACAGATCATGGAGTATTTATGCAGGCTGGATGCACAAGTGATAGGTTGATAAGGTTCAGTCCAGTCAATTTTCACAGCCCAAGGAGTTATGATTGTCATTTGTGACAAGCCCAATGCCAAAAAAAAATATAAGAAAAGGGTTGAAAAAAAAGTATCAAAAAATTCAGCGCATTGGCAATGACAATTTTTATCTATGACAATTCTTTTTAAAATAACCTAAAGTTCACTAAAATAGTCTTTTTTACTTTTTCATGCTTCTCATTTTCAACTTATCATAGGCCAAACATGCAAGCAACACAGGGCAATCCAAGATCAAACTTCCAGACTGCAAAAGAGTGTTTTATTGGTCAAAATGAGACTTTTAATTCTGTGAAATTTTTTCTGAAAGTGCTTTTTAAAAGAGCCACAGCCCAGTCAAAGTTCCGAGAAAAAAAATCGATTTTCCTGCAGTTCGGCAAAAGTAGTGGACCAAATCTCATGAAAATTGGTACGCACCCATAATTTGATCCGCTGAATTCATTACCAACATTAAAAAGTGGGGTCTTGGGGGTTCGTGAAATACCACCTTCATACACAAAAAAACCCAGTCACTGTCCTTTATAAGTCTAATACCCTTCCCCCTCCTCCCCTCTCCCCCCCCCCCCCCNTCCCCCCCCCCCCCGAAACCCCACTTTCAAGTGAGATTTGAATCTTAGTAATAAAGTTGGTAATGAATTCAGCGGATCAACTTATGAGTGCATACCAATTTTCATGAAATTCGATGCACTACTGTTGCTAAAATGCAGGAAAATCAATTTATTCCTTAAAACTTTGAAGGGGCTGTGATCCCCTTAAAAAAACGCTATTGGAAAAAATTTCATAGAGGTAAAAAGTTTATTTCAATCCATAGGTTAGCTTTTTCAGTCCGGCGGTTTAAACTTGGATCACACTATTTAGTTTCCAGGAAAAACCTGTGCAGCTTGCTTTTGACCCAAGCTTAAATTTCTGGGACCCAACTAAGTTAACATACCATCAACCACTTTCTAACTTCTTATAATAAACTGGTTCATCTTTATGGCATCAAGACAACAGTGACTTGAACAGAAAAATACTCCAAGGAGCAAGAAATGTTTGAACAGAACAGACGGATTGTTTTAACCATTTTTGCTGTGGCAGACACTTAAAAATCTAACTGATTTGTCATCACTAATATAGCAGTAACAGTGTTTTGAAAAAACGCCAGTGCAAGAGAAGTTTTTCGTGCACATAATGAAATGCAAACTTAAATTTCCTGATAAAAGAGAACAAATACTATCCACCAAACTACGACTATTCATACATTGTTGATGGGTTTGTGGACTCTCTGCTGCTTAGTTTTTACTCTCTCATCCCTCAAATTTTCAAATCCATCAGATTATTCTAATTTGTTGTATCAAATTCAAAATTATTCAGTAAAAAGAAGAAGAGTGTTTTCTTGTATCTTTATTCATGAGTCATATTACTTACTGAAAGATGGCGTTTCTATTTTTCAGTCAAAATTACCAATTAACAATCATGGAAAATGGGCGACCCACAAAGGCTCTTCTCAATGCAATTCGTGGTGGAAAAGCATCGGAGGTTAAGAATCTGGTAAGGTCTTCAAAACTCTCTAAAATTACTGAGTACCCGTTAGTTTATGATGCGGTGGATAGTGGCAGCATTGAAATTATTCAGATTCTCATCAACAAAGGTGCTGATATTGAGATAAGTGGCTCTAAAGGGCTGACGCCTCTTCACCTTGCCGTACTGAGGGATAATGAGGAACTAGTCAAACTTCTTTTAAGTCTAGGAGCTGATGTTCACTCGGAAGGCAAATACGGGAAGCCATGCATTCGAACTGCTGTCGAGAAGCAGAACCTTCGAATCATCGAACAGCTTTTATCTCATGGTGCCAATGTCAACTATAGGTATCCTAAAGGTGGGAGTATTCTACACATTGCTGTTGAGGCAGGTCATGAAGACCTTGCTGACCTATTACTCAGATTTGAGGCGGATGTGGATGCCTTAAGAAACGATGGCTCAACCCCTTTACACTTGGCCATAAAAAAAGGTAATATTTCTATGGTTCGTAAGCTAATCAAACATGGAGCAAATATCAACATCTCCCTAACATCGGTTGGTCAGAGAGGGCGGACTCCTTTGCGTTTAGCGCTTCGCAAAAAGAACTATGAGCTTGCAAAATTTCTCCTCAATCATGGCGCTAATCTCAACTTGGAGGATTATGAAGGGTCTCCGTTATTTTCTGCCTGTAAGGATGCAGATGTGGAGTCAGTTCAGTTTTTGTTACAAATGGGTGCCGATGTGAATAGAAAAGGGAAGAATGATAGCACACCTTTACACATTGCTCTCAAGCAAGAGCACTTAGACATAGTCAAGCTTTTGTTGAAACACGATGCCAATATTAATGCTAGTGATACTGAAGGCACCCCCTTGCATTTTGCTTGTAAGGCAGGCAATACTCACCTAGTAAAGTTCCTGTTAGGTGTGGGTGCAGATGTGAATACTACATGTGAAGGTAGTACTGCTATTCACCTTGCCTTTGAGCAAGGGCACTTGAATGTAGTCAGGCTTCTGCTAGAAAATGGTGCTGACATCAATGCTCATGGCGAAAATGGCACCCTACTGCATTCTGCATGTATGATGGGGAGCTTGGAACATGTGAAGTTTCTGTTAAAAAAAAGCGCTGACATCAATGCTCCAGGCAGCGATGGCACACCTTTGCATGTAGCAGGGAAACGGGATCATCTCCATGTTGTGAAATTCTTGTTGAAGAAAAGAGCAAATATCAATGCACTGGATGATGACGGAACCCTCTTGCATTGGGCATTTAAGGAGAACAATTTAAAGCTTACAAAATTGCTTTTGGAGAATGGTGCTGATGTGAATGTCGAGGACAGTGACGGGTGCACCATACTGCAGTTGGCTGTGGAGAAGCCTAATGTGGCGATGGTTGAAAGAATCTTAAAGCTTTGCCCTGATGTTAAAAATGTGAGCAATTGCAAATCTTTTTATTATGCCTTAAAAGAGTCTGGCCCAGAGTACGTGAAGATTGTCAAAATGCTTGTTCAGTATGGTTTCAGTGTGGAACCAGAGGATGCTGCCAACCCTGAATTGCTCCATCAGGCCATCATAAAAGGCTGCTATGAAATTGTAGAGGCCTTACTAAAATTTGGGGCAAATGTCAATGAAACAAAGGGCCAATCCAAGGAAACGCCTCTACATCTTGCTTCACGACGGAAATCAGAGAACATCGTCAAGCTGTTGTTAGAGTATGGAGCAGATGTTGATGCTAAATGCAACCAGGAAAGGACGCCTATGTTCGCTGCTGCGAAGAGAGGACTTCACAAGAATGTTGAGATGCTGCTCAAATATGGTGCCAACATGGATTCGAGTGATTTGGCTGGCAAAACGCCGCTTCACATAGCTGTTGATGTAGGTGTCTATTTCGGTCAAGATGTCATTAAACACTTGCTTGAGAACGGTGCTGATGTTAACCGTAAATGCAAAGAGGGACGATCCCCTCTTTTCAGTGCTGCCGACAATGGACTTCTTCGAGTTGTTGAAGTCCTTCTCAAATACGGCGCCAGGATTGACTCAGAGAACCCATATCAAACTGCTATCCAAACTGCTTTCTGGAATAAAAATGTACTCAAGTCTCTGCTTGAGTACGACTTCACAAACAGTGAGCTAGTAACACGGCCAGAGGAAGAAGACGACCCCTCATTCTACGCTGTCCATGCAGGGCTCACACATCAAAAGGCTGAGACAGTCGAAATCCTAGTTCACCACTTTGTCAGAATGAAGGCAGCTGGGCTCTTTAGCAATCACCAGAGCCCCATGCCTACTGCTTACGGTGACGGAATTGAAGTGAGCGAGTTTCAGGGCAAGTGCGAGGCCGAAATAGCTCGTGCTAAGACTGAATGTGTTGGCAAGACCAATATCACATTCTTCAATATTTTGACAGATAATGTGAATAAGTTAGCTTGCTATGCAAGGAATAATTGCATTGCTCAGGTTTTCAGATCTGATGAGTACAAGTCTCGCTTTCCCATGTATGGAAGTATCCTCCATTGTCAGTTCCAGAAAGGGGAGGTTCGCAAAGGACTGTTAGAGCAGGGTGTAAAATATTTCCCAGTCTTATATCGGGCTTTCTACTGTCTACCTCTTGATCTTAAAGAAGAGATCCTAAAGTACTTAACTGATAGAGATCTAAGAGTTCTCATCAGTTTTTCAAAGCGTATTCAGGAACAACTGCGAAAGAGCTAATTCCCAAATAGTCAAACTCTCGGAACTGTATACATTTCTATTTCTCTTGAATATCCCTAGTCTGAAGTTGAGTAATTTATTTATGTGCCTACTTTAATTTTTTATTTAATTGTCAATTCTTTCCTGTAAATTGCATTTAGTGATACACACAACCAAACTCTGGCAAAGCGCAAAAATTCAGTTAACTTTTTTGTTCGTATGAGTATGCTTAAAGCACTCAATAATTGGTTATACCAATCATTCATAAGTGATATAAAACTTTATTTTATCAATACTAATTTATTCCAAATTAACCAGCACAATGCTGATTAAGTAATTTGAGTTACTTTTTTTAACTTGACCCATGCATTTATCTTTTGTAGGGGTAACATTTATCTTTGTTTTGTCGTGAAAATTGTTCAAATTATTTTCTCCAAGTTATGAAATGGATTGGAAAACTTGGTCTCTAATTCTTTCTTCATTGTACTTTTTAGATCGTTGATTGATCTATAGTCTCAGCTTTTAAAAAGTGACATGCCTTTCCACAAAAATCTACAGGCTTCCCTTGGAATCGTTAGAAACGATGTGGAAATCACCTTTTATCCTCCAGTTTTGAAAAAAAAATAAACTTTCATTGCTCAGTTAAAAGACTTACTTAGGTACCCCGCATGTATCTTATTTTTCTCTTTAAGAGTTTTTTGTATTCTTTTGTGGACATTTGTCTACTGCTTACTTGCTGTAATTTTCCCCTTTTTTTGGACAGCATTCTGCTTTTAAAAGGAGAGAGAAAGTGATGATATCTCATTTATCAACATTTCTCGAGACAAGCTTCATCTACAATTTGAATGAATGTATCATTTTTGGGATCACCTAAACGAAGTCCCTTTGAAGAGTAAATGACATCAACCTTTTACTGCTTTGTCAACTTTTCAGTGATTTTTAATTTTTATAATATTTATTGCCTTAAAGTCAAAAGTATATTTTAATGGACTACTAGACAGGGTACGAATTCAAACATTATATTTTTTTGTTTTTCATCAAATTTTTAAGTAGAACACGATTTGTACCAAGCAAATTATTTGAAAAAGTAACTCCTAACAGAACTGTTAACGTTTTTCGATGCATAATTCAAACTTATTCATGCTCATATAAAGAACAAAATCTAGTTGAGTCCTACTTGAGTTAAATCACACACTAAACAATACCGTCTTTGCAGTCTAGTCTTTGCAGTAAACCTCAATATCGGTGCTTCGGCTCAGCCTCTGCACGTTGTTTACTTGAAACGACTCAGGGTGGGAAAGGGACACTGCTTATCAAGAAGCCTGTCAAATCCGTCGTAGCATGCGCCATTTGAAGTAGACTTACGTTTTTCATAAGCAATGATGAACCTAAACCTTAATATTTTGGTTGGAAGTTGATTTCATTAATTCTCGTTGTGTAAGTTGTGTTACACATAAAATTTCAAAGAGGAAACTTATGAGAATGCTTAAATTTGTACCTTGTCCAGTGGTTCATTACCGTAATCCAGTTTCTCAAAAAAACTGAAAATATATTTCTAATTAAGGTAGTTAGTCCAAGCATTTAAATGTGACAAAATTTGGGTCGATTGTACATCATTTAGGTGAAAAATCTGAGTCAACTGTGAGTTTTACACCAAAAAAGAGTCTTCAGCCCTCGCCCATGATTAGGAAGAACCATTTGCCTGAAAAGCGTTCTAAAAAACGCCATGAAAAAAATATATTGATTAGGAAAGTTTGCATCTCATATTGTATTTGCGTTTGATACTATAGTCATTACTTTAAAGTCAACTTCTATTTTCATTCTTTTAAATCGTTCATTTTTTATGTGCAATAAATGGTTCTGGAGAGTCACATATCGATGGTGAAACTACCAGACCATGTATCTCGGTTTGCAACGTTCCAGACTTCCTGTCATACTTTATTTTTTCAACGTAAAACTACTCCACGTCAATTCTTGAAAACTTCTGTGATTTTTCTTCTTTCTGCAAAGAAAATTCTATAATAACCTCAAGGAATGATATTGATTTGTTCTCCTTCAGAGAAATAAAATGGGGGCGGAGATTTTTAAAAACAGTAAACGAGATGTGTGATTTGGTAGTTTTACTGTCGATATGCAGGTGCTGCAATCTTTTTTTGGTAGGAAACTCTTTCAATACTGACAAATCAAGAAAGAATTTATACCTGTTATTTTTAAATTCTAGATAAAGTCATGCAACTTGTCAGTTCGATATGTTTCTAGTCACATTATTTTTTGTTTTGTAATTTTTCCTGTTCATTTTTCAACAAATGAATTAAATTCAAAGCTACTCCAGTTTTTAACCTAAGTGATGCGATACGCCCAATGGTAATTCAACTTTAACTGGACTTAAGGATGAATTATCTGAATATCATCTAAATAATCCTTTTTTTCTCTTTTTATTTCTGATCAGTTTAAATAAGATTGAGTTAAACTCATATTGTCTCGTAAAAGCTAGTGTTCGGTGATAGTCTTGTCAAAATCGATATTTTCACTTACTTACAAAGAGCGTCCAGTCAACTGCCATTATCAGATCCAGCAAAGTGGCATCATTGTCTTTCCTACTTTTAAACCTATGGAAATGTATCGATCCTTGGAGGGGCCAGGTGCTCTGACAAGAATCGATTATTTAGCATAGGTTTTAATGGAGGAAATCCGGTGTTGTCAAGTTGCTGGATCTGCCTCTGTCAACTGCTTGGTTTTTTTTTACGTGGCCTCTAAAAATTACGGACTCTAAGCACTCATCAACAATCTGTCTACTCCATCACCATCGTTGGGAAATAGTGCTGAAAATGAGCATTTACCCCCTCTTAGCTTGATGTAACTTATCCACATTTTATCGCACAACCTGTTAACCTTGCTCATTACCTGTATAATACGTAGCCTTTCTCTAGAGGCCAGTAGTGTTGATAAGAGCATTCTCGTTTTTCTATCTCTGTGAATACTCTCTCTTTATTTTTCATTCTCGATTTTTTTTTTTTTCAATTTATTTTGTCTCTTTCCCTTTCTTCTATATTATTTGACCACAGTCTCTTGTTAAAGTTTTGTTTTAGCCATTTTGGGCAGAAAAGACACCAAGTGAGCTTACGTTTTGTGTTTATTGTATCTTTTAGGTACAGAAGTTTAGGCCTTTGAACTTTAAACGATTCTCAAAAGATCGTTTTACTTAACGTCTCTTTTTCTTTATATTTTGTCAAAGATATTATCTTTTTTCCTCTCCATTTTTCTTGGATTATTGCTTGTTTTAGAAAATAGCAAAAAATATGTTAGTTTGAATGCATTGGAAACTCCACTCTGCAATTTACAAGCGGTTTTTTTTTACTTTTTGTAGCTTGCCAGTGCTTGTAAATTTCCATTCCAGGGAAAAATTTTCTTTTACTTCGGTTTTTACAAAAACCTTCCAATGGTAAAACCTCTTCCAAATACGTACCAATTTCTTTGATGTCTTTCCATTATTCCATGTAAAGGGTCTTTTTGCATGATCTTCATAGCCAGTTCATCCTGTCAACGATTGTATAATTTATAAAAAAGTTTGTATTCCTTTTATCGTTGAAGCCCTACCTTAGTCAAGTTTATTTTTTCCATTTTTTCTCCGTTACTGTTTGTACAGTGTACAATTGAAATACATGAAATGAAACACAATTAATTATTTTAATCTTTATGTTCTTCATCCAGCCCTTTATTAAATTGAAAAAATTACTAGATTGAAAATATATCTGAACACACGTGTGTGTTTATCTCGGTTATTTGTCAGCAGAACAGAAACTTAGTGTCCCCTTGCCCCAAGTAGCAAGGGTAGCTATAGATAGACATGAAATCGTAGGAATATTGCTTCATTATATTTGCCCTACGTATTGCCTACGTTCTCATTTGAAGGCGCGGAAATTATTGCTGTAATGTAGCAAAATAAATTCCGATTTTTGGTTGTGTCACCTGTTGCCAATCTGTTAATTGCAAGGAGCGAAAATCATCGCAACAATGTTGCTATTAAGTATAGTGATTAAATCCCGTGTTTCTTTTCGTAACTTGTTTCCACATCTCCAGCATGAATGCAGGAATGGATCGCAAAAAAATGATGACAACAATTTTTCCCAAGTTTAGTCTTCTCTGATTAGCTCCAACTCGATTGTAACTGAAACTTTGAAAATTTCAATGCTTTTTTGAAAGGTTTTAATTTCCAGCCAATCAAAATAAATATCTATGCTTCCAGATAAGTTTTTTTTTTTTTTTTTTTTTTTGGTGTATGTGTCGCACTAAGTGGTTTTAAAATTTCCAGGGAAACACCCTGACCCGTAGTAACGTTTTGGTAAATTTAATTTTACTCATTTCATGACTTTCTTTCCTCCTTCGTTCTATTTCGTTTTTGTTACTTTTAATTCTCGGAATTTTTTATACTTCCTGAAAACTTGAAATTTTTCACTATTTGCGCGCTTCTCTGATAAGAACGTGTCCAAGCTTTCCCACTCGTTTAAATTGTATTCACGTAGGCATCGGTGCAGGCTTGATACTTCCCAGATTACGTAGTTGCCCATAGCTCCCTAAAGTTCGATACTCGAGGGTGAAGAAGCAAATTAGAACTCGATTTTTAAGCGTGAATTGGCTATTTTCGGACAGTCCAAGGCTGCGTCTTTCCACTTTCCGGCGTGGAAAAGAAATTCTTTTCCCGAGGGAAGCCATAGAGGAAGTATTCCATCGCACTATCTGCCCCGTTGGCAACGGCGGAAACCGGGACACGCAGACCCATTGTCAAGCGCTTCGTGTCGTCGAGAACCGTCCGCGTTCCGCCCCTGAAAAAAATCAGCAATTACCGCTATGGCCTCTTGTAAAGTAGAGGAGTTTTCTTTTCGAAGCACCCGACAACGGCGGGTCGAACAAGACACGCGGGACAAGCGCGACACGTGGGACAAGCAGGACACAATAGGGCCCCATAAATTCACTCTATGAATATGCCCGCTAGTCGGCAGAGGCCACGCATCGGGACGCGTGGACGCGTAGGTATACGACCCTTGAAAATTCTTCAATTATACCCCTCCTCCCCGCAGCCCCTCAATCTCACCATGCCCCCTCGCCGCATCGGCGGCATTGAAGCTCATCACCGTTATGCCGGGCCGATTGTCTTCTTCCCTCGCGAAAATATCTCCCGGGTTCCTTGTGAATAATACGTTGTGACATTACGCATCAACACGAATTATTTTAAATCCAATTGAGTCGGGACCTGCGAAAACCACTTATCGACGGTGTAAGTCGGCAATCACATAACTCGGTTCGCGACGTCGCAGACTTCCTGTCATACTATATTTTTTTAACGGAACTACTCAATGGCAATTCTTTAAAACTGCCGTGAATTTTCTTCTCTTTGCGAAGAAAATTCTGCAAAAACTTCAAGGAATGCTGTCAATTTGTTCTCCTTTGAAAAAAAAAACATAGAGGCGGAGATTTTCAGACACCGCAAACGAGATATGTGATTGCCGACTTACACCGTCGTCATGTCCATTTTTCCAGTCTTCAATTTTTTCACTACTTTCAGGAGTTGGATGCAACCACGAAAGTGGCGTTAACACTCGTTTCCGGGTTACCTTAGTCCCAAAACGAGTCTTTTCATCACTTTCATGGTTGTATGAACTCTTTAAAAGTATTATCAACTCAAAAAAACTGAAGACGGGAATAATGGACATAAGCGGTTTTTGCACGTTCCGATTCAACTATTCTCATTGCGTTTAACGCGCGTTGTTAAACGTGCGCGTTGCGTTGAGTTATCTGTAATCAAACTCTCCGACCCTTCAAGTTCCCCGAGGTTGTAAATGGTAAATTCGACCATTTAACTTTGGGTCGCCGAGTCTCAAAATGACCGTCGGTTTTTTCGGGGGGTTTTTTGCCCTTATTTTTGCGTGCACCCTCTTTTCGTGGATAAAAGAATAATTTTCAGGATTCTTTTAAATAGTTGCATCGCCGTATTTCAGGTAGCACAAACAAGAAAACAATTTAAGGATTTTTTAATGAGGTCAATTTTTTTTTTTTTTGTTTATGGTAAATGTACATGGCGATCCAATTGAAATAATGCTAAAAATTGATTATTTATTCCATGCAGGGGGCTGCACACATAAACGGAGGCTAATATAAAAAAAAATAACAAAAACAGATCATTTTCGGACTTCGCGAGCATCAGTCAAAGTTGGCCAATGTATTTTTTTTCTTTTTTTTGTTGATCAGTGTAACTTAACTACCGAATCAAGGTGGTTTGTAACGAATTTATTGGTAACTATATGTACAAGAGTTTCCAATTTCTCGTGTCCGGTAAATGCACTCGCCCCTTCATGCACGCTGGGCCTGTCGATTTCCTTTGACATTTTTGTGGTGGTGAATGCATATTGTATATAGCAAATGGGTAATTTTTAGAGGAGGATTATAAATAAACGAGTGGTACGGAGTATAAAAAAAGAATATAAAATACGCAAAACGATAATCCGGGTATCGGAACTTGGCTGTTTTGAAAACGCCTTCAAATGCGGCGTGATACCTCACGCATTCCGGAGAGTTCAAATAGTTGTATCATTGCGCCTTAGAAATGCGACGGAAGATTAAAATTGAAATAGCCTTCATGCACGCTGGCCTTTTCGATTTCCGTTAACATTTTTGCAGTCATGAATGCGCTTAAGTGCGCTTCAGCTAGAATTGTATTTAGCAAATGGGTGGTTTATATAGAAGTATTATAAATAAACAAGTGGTTAGAAATGGAAACAAAATAATATGAACTATGCAAAACGATTATTCCGATAACGGAACTTGCCTGTTTTGAAAACGCCTTCAAATGTGGCATGATACCTCACGCATTCCGGAGAGTTCAAATAGTTGTATCCTTGCGCCGTAAGCATGTGACGGAAGATTTAAATGGAAATAGCCTCCATGCTCGCTGGGCGTGTCGATTTCCTTTGACATTTTTGCAGTGGTGAATGCATAGCTGAAGTGCGCTTCAGCTAGAATTGTATTTAGCAAATGGGTGGTTTTTCTACGAGGATTAAAAATAAACAAGTGGCACGGAATATAACAAAAGAATATGAACTATGTAAAACGATAATCCGGGTATCGGAACTTGGCTGATTTGAATACCCCTTCAAATGCGGCGTGATACCTCACACATTCCGGAGAGTTCAAATAGTTGTATCATTGCGCCTTAGAAATGCGACGGAGATTAAAATTGAAATAGCCTTCATGCACGCTGGCCTTTTCGATTGCCAATTGTTGCATTCAAAACACCTGGAAAATTTAATTTTTTTTTCGGGTGGGGGGCATATGATACTATTTTCAGTTCTATGAGGGCCAGGCCCCCATGGACTCCCCCTTCGTTTGTCTATGGCAAGGGAGTTCAGCCATGAGCCATTGAAGTCGAGGATGCCCAGACTGGAGACTCTTAGCATCTGACGACGGAAGAAAATAAAACGCAGTTACTAAAAATATCCCTCTGCACTGAAAATCTTGAAAATAGATAGAAACTTTCCAAGAAGTATACTTCTTTGAAAATTTAAGAAGAATTCTACAGTGCCCAGCGTGTTTCTGAAAATCTATTCACCTTTTGCGAAATTTTCAGGGTAAATTTTGCACTTTTTCTTACGAAACAAGGGTTGCATGTGAATTCGTAGTGGTTTTTCACGTGTAACACGGGTCCCCTCCGGGGCCCAGGCCCCGGTACCAGGGACCTAGTACCCCCCCCCTTGTGGCGGGCCTAACTCGCCACCCCCTCCTCTTTTACTGCACTTACCCCACTCTGGGTATTGGGGCGAATGTCCTAGTGGTAAATCCCACTTTTTGCGTCGTAATTCAAAGACGCCCCACAGTTAAAGAGCTTATTCTCTTTTTCCGCGAGCCATGAGACGGAATATGGAGGAGCGATCCACCTATTCTTTTAATTTTCTCAGCCCTCGATGCGAGAATAGTGGGAAGGGGGGTGGGGTTTGGCTCTGAAGGCTTTATTGACTGCAGGGGCAATTACGACTGTCGCATCAAGTGTATAATAGGCATATTGTTGGAATATTGCTGGCCGCTGCCTTGCCTAACTGCATTGCGAATATTTCATTTTACATCCACTCTTGTACGTTTCCCTCAGAATTCCTGTCGGACCTAACAATTACAAATAATTACAAAAAGTTAAGAACGTATTATGATAATACGAATTTGATTTGTTAAAATTTCATTTCCTCGTGGGAGTATGCAATTTATTTGATTTTTGCTTGCACGTGTGAGTAGATTTGCTAGACATGTTGTCCATTTTTAGTGGGAGGATCACTTGCATCAAGAGCTATATGTAAACTGCATTCTTTTGGACATAAGCATTGCCAGCAAAATATTTTCCTTCTTGCAGAAGATTCCGTGAACGCTCTTCAATGTCTTCACGGTAGAACCTATCTCTTTTTTTTTTCATTCTAATGACTGTTCACAGATGATCTTGAAACAAAAAAACAAAAAAAAAACGACAATAATGTACCCAGAGACGGTTTGCAGGGGGTGACCCTGTGGGTACGTGTAGACTTAAAATCGCGAAAAATCAAAATCTTGGCTAATCCTAATTTTGAGGTAGGTATCCCAATTTGATATTTTCATAGGAAATGCAAGTTCCCTACTGATTTCGAACCGCGTTTTTCTTTACTTGTC